ATAATAAATTTTGATAAAAATAAAATTATATTATATTTTATATATTTAAATTAAATATTTTGATATTTAAAATATTAAAATATTTAATAATTATTATATAATAAATTTTGATAAAAATAAAATTATATTATATTTTATATATTTAAATTAAATATTTTGATATTTTAAATATTATAACATCTTGATTTTTTTTTCTTTGATATCTTAATTTCTTTTTTATAAGAATATATTTTTAACAAAAAAATATTTTACAATTTATACTATATTGAATTTTTTTTAGCATTAGTTTTTAGTATCTAAAAATTATATTAAACTCTAATTAATTTGGAGTCCAACAATGTTAAACTCATAAAGAGAAAACCCTTTCAATATCTATTCTTTATTCATAATACTCAAATTTAAAATAAAATGAATCAATAAATTATTAATTATATTATATTATATTGTAAAATATAAATAATTAAATAAAGGTCTAGTTCTTTGACGTTGGCCTTTGGGAATTATCCTCTTCTAAAAATTATTTTTTATAACTAGATATAACCTGCATAGTAAAATAACAGACTATATTTTAAAAAATTTTTAAATATATTATTAAAAAAAGGGATTAATTAGTGGTTGCTAAATTTTTTTTAAAGGGTAACCAAAAACAAAGAAATTAGTTTTGTGAAGGAGAGAGAGGTGCAGCCCGACAGAAGGCATCTTTTAATACATAAAAAAAGAAAAGAAAAGAAATTAAAATTATGGGATTTGAGTTTTAGAAGAGCAAAGTTGCTTCTCTCTACTTCTTGCTGTCTGTCAGCGCCACCCACGCCCCAACACTCTGGACTGGATCGATCATATTTCTATATGTGGTCAAATTATATTATTCCATTTCCACCCTGTACTTCATCATCTCTTTTTTCTTGTTTTAGTTCTACATCTCCTATCTCTCTCTCTTTGCATGTTTTTTTTTTCCATATATTTCATTCAACACTACTTAATTTCTTCTTATAAAGTTTCTATTAATTGATGTATATGAGTTTTCTATCCCAACAAAACAAGAACTATATAGTATATATTAAATAGGAGAGACATTTCTCAACACCAAATGATTTTTTTTATATAGAATATATGTAATTTACCATATCACTTTAATGATGAGATAGGAGCGATTGATTTTTCTACATATTTAAAATTTTCACTTCTAAACTAATATAGAAAAATGCACCCACAAAAAAGAAAGAAAAAAAAAAAAGAGCTAGTGATATAGAAAAGGTCTCCTAAAATGTAGACACCCATAAACACTGTCCCCAACTATTTTGGAGATCAGAGATTAATTAAACCACACTAACTACCTCATCTTTGTTCACAAAGGTAAATAATTAAATTAATATATACAATCCTTTATCCCATACATTAAAAACAGAAGTATCTTCTTCTACCAAAAGCATGCTCTGTCTTTTAAAGATTCAGATATATATATATAAAGGCATACTCCAGTTTTCAATCTAAATGGTTAATTAGTAAGGTGAACCACCATAGAGGAGTTGAACAAGTCTAAGATTGTATTAAAATCCCCCCTCCCTTACATCGCGGTAACCTATTCAGAAAAAAAGGGGAAGATTCAAACAAAGAAGTGAATATTTTGAGACGATTAGACTCAACGTAAAAATGGCATTGAATTGAATAGACCCTTGAGAAAAGGAAGAGCTGACATTTGTTTGGCTTATGGTGCATGTGGACCCTTATAACGTTCACATTTTGATAACCAAAAATAAATAAATAAAAGGATAGAATTTGCAGGACTGCTCATGTGGGTCATGGAAACTTTTACAGACTTCATTACTATTATATTTTATATGTTAGATTCCTCAAGGCTTGTTCTCTGAAGAATGAAAACCCATATCTACTTAATAACTTCTGCACCAGAAAACTGGTCCTTCTCTGTGTGAAACGACCTTACCCATTCCTGCCGTCACGTAATTCATTATTGGAGCAGTCTTTCACCTATTGTTTTTAGTTCACAGAAACAATCTCGCCTAGCTATTTAATTCCAACCCTTACATTGGGTTTTTCTTGGAAATTATATACGTTATATAATTATACAGTGATTTATAAAAGCAGTTGTAGCCGTTTTTTGCCACCACGAATTTCAATTTTCTATTTGTGGGTAAGTTATTTATTACTACTACTAATTACTATACTACTTTAGCTAGAGATTTAAATGAGCCAACTTGAGCACTCTTAAACTCAAGTTATCAAATTGATGAACTAGCTGAGTCTCCTGCCAAGCTTTTGTTGAACTGAAATTTGAAGAATAATTTGCATATACTCCCTGACGATCATTAAAAAAAAAAAAAAAGAAGAAGAAGAAATTTGCATATACTCCCTCTATATATACTAATTTAATTGTCTTAATTTTATCATGTATCCATTTTTAGGCAATGAGTTTTCTGGAGATTGACATTATTATTTCCTTTGCTTGTAAAAAAATTCAAATCACCAATTACTAAACTAATTCATATAAACTACACGAAATTGAACTAAACTTGAAAATATAGCATATATATAGCAAAATTTAAAATTCTTATCAGTATTGTCTCCCAAGGCTTCACTGACAGTAAGTTATATATATATCAACAAAAATGATAATGGTATACATTTATATTTTTCTACATAATAATTTACTTACTCTATTTATTTTTAATAGAGTTAATTTGATTTTATGATTTTTTAAATATAAATTTTAAATGATAATTTAACAACTTAATTATATGAACAATAATTGAAAAAAAAATTTCTTACAAGAAGTTTTTGTTGAGTATTTTTATTTGATTAAAAAAATTTTAATTATCATTTATATAATATGTTATTTGAAATTGTTATTTAAAAAGATAAAAAGTTAAATTAAATTTATTAAAAATAAACAAAAAAAAGTATATAATATGATATGTTATTTTGTACTTCACTTTTTTTTATTTATTTGAAGGTCACACATTAATACATATCTACTTGTTTAAAAGCATAATATATATATATATACAAGATAAAATCTTCTTACATAAAATCATAACTTTTTATTTTTTCTACTGTAAGTTATTAAAATTTGTCATGATTAAAATAAAAATTACATAATTAACTCTTAGTCATTTATAATAAAAAAAAAATTTATATATATAGATTCCAAATCATAAAATATTACGTATGTCGTATGCAAAAATTAATTTGTTAAGGAAGAGAGAAAGAGAGAACGTGGAGTGCTGGAAATTACAATGGAGTGAGAAAGGTGGGGACCCTATTCCACCGCCCCAAACCCAGACAGTCTCCCTTACCCATTTCATTATCTAACCCTAGTCAAATATTTCAGTAGCCAACCCCCCTCCTCCCCCCTGTTCTCTTCTTTTCCCTCTCCCTGAAACCCTCGATCCCTCAACAACATCTCTGCATAAAAGCGATCCACTATACTACTTTCAGATATGTTCAATTCAGCTCAGAGAATTTGGTCAAGTTACACAAAGTAGTTCATCATAAGGTTTAATTAAACCCAACAAAGCCAAACACCAAAACCAGTCTCTGTAGCATACGATTCTCCTGTTTAGAAGTCTTTTTTCTTTTTCTTCCACGAAGAAGAGTTAGTAAAGCATGGATCCACTGACGGTACATGGGCATTCACTTACCTCTCCATTCCATCTGAGAGATTTCAATCTTCACCACCAACAGCAAGAACAACAACACCAGTTCCACCAGCAGCAGAATTCGGAAGATGAACAAAGTGGAAGCAGCAGCGGCCTCAGGAAACGTGATGGGGATGAGAACAACAGCAGCAACGATGCCCAGGACCTCATAACCGGTGGAGAAGGAGAGATCACGAGAAGGCCACGCGGCAGGCCGGCCGGATCCAAGAACAAGCCCAAACCGCCAATCATCATCACCAGGGACAGCGCTAACGCGTTACGCACCCACGTTATGGAAGTAGGAGACGGATGCGACATCGTCGAAAGTGTAGCCACATTTGCTCGAACACGTCAGAGAGGGGTTTGCATAATGAGTGGGACCGGCACGGTCACCAACGTAACCCTCCGGCAACCGGCATCCCCCGGTGCAATCGTCTCCTTACATGGCCGATTTGAGATATTATCACTTTCGGGATCTTTCTTGCCCCCGCCAGCACCGCCTGCGGCGACAGGGCTAACCATATATTTAGCTGGTGGACAGGGGCAGGTTGTGGGTGGGAGTGTTGTTGGGACGCTGACTTGTTCAGGTCCGGTGGTAATTATGGCTGCTTCCTTTAGCAACGCCGCATACGAGCGGCTTCCTTTGGAGGAGGAAGAGACGCAGCCGCCAATGCAAGGCGATGCACTGGGGTCACCTGGTGCAGTTGGAGGACAACAGCAGCAGCAACTACAAGCAATGGCGGAGTCAAATGCGCCTCTTTTTCATGGAATGCCACCCAATCTTCTCAACTCTATTCAATTACCAACGGAGGCATTCTGGGCTAATGGCGGTCGCCCACCATATTAGCTCACAGACGGGTATTATTATGGGTTAATTTAGCTTCATCTTCAGGTTTACACAAAACTTGATAGCTAGAAAATGAAATTAATTTGGGTTTGTTGAGCAGTACATTTCATGGTTAGTACTTTGTTTATGTTGGTTCTATTTCGACTTTGATGAGTAGAGGTAGATTGTTAATTAGGAGCGTGTTGATTGAGAATGACTGTAAATTATCATCATGGATATTTTTGGTGTGTTTGATGATTTCATGAGAATAAGTTTCTTCATTCTATGATGAAATTTAGTAGGAAAAACAAACTTTTTGATATTTAAAAAAAAAAAAAAGGAATTATATTTTGCTTTTTAGCACTGTTTTTTGGTTTTGCAGGATTATGAAGTTCTCTTGCAATATATTTAGATGTTGAACATTTCATTTTCTTATGCATATATATATTTATCTGTTTCAATTTTCCAAAACACTCCTTCACAAAAGGAAGATCTATCTTTCTCATTTAGGGGGAAGCATAAATCAGTTAAATTTAAATAATTTTTGTAGCCTTTCTGTAAATGAAATTTTGATCAATAAGGTAGTTATAGAAACATTATTTGTATCCAGTAACTAATTTAACTAATTTATTGATGAGTTATATCTTCTTCCACTCCAAAATTAACCCTTTTGCTTCTTTTTAATTTGTCTTTCCTCGATCGAACCCCACATTTGCCTCTCTGCAATTTTTTCGATTTCAACATATCTTTGAAGCTAGGAAAGTATGTAAAAGAAAAAACAAGGAGATACGAAATCATTAGTTAAGAGTAGAATGATGAAGACATGGACAATGGACTGTTATTTATATATGGTAACAAGCCAGCAAACAAATATGAACGAAGAGTTGAATTAAAGCTAGATGAATTTTCAATGCGGCTTAGTAGAGAGGAGGTATTTAGCTAGGGTTTTGAGATTATGGAGACATGAAAAATATGTGGGTAGTGGGGTTACACGTGCACTGTTCTGAACTAGCTCCTTTTCGAGGCAAAGGCAACAAGTAGTCATTACTAGGATAGGTACGTTTGGTGGGCTCTCTCTGTCTTAATCTGTATCTCTGCACTGCAAGCCTGCAACACCAATTTGGAGGAAAATGCATTTGCTTTCTTTTCCTAAAGCTGTCCAATTGAAGATATGTATAATACTATTACCTTCGTACTTTCTACCCTTCTCTCTGGATATCAGCTTTTTGCCTTTACCCCTATTTTTTCTCCTGTTTCTAACTGTTTTACAGTTGAGATTGAAACTTGGCGTCGGGATCTTGAACCCAATGGAGTTTGTGGACCTCTATCTTCCTTAATATACCTTTCTAGCTCCTGTATTGCATCATTATTTCCCTTTTCAAGACTGCATACTCATTTTCATTTCTGTCTTTAACATGCATTTAGTCAGTTGGGCTACAAACCCAATATAATATTATTGATCACCTTTTAAATGTTTGGTTGTTGTTGGTATGCTTGAAAATCATGAGAACATTTTTGCAAAAATAAAAAATAAAAAATCGACCCTCACACCCAAATAAAGTGTATTTCTATACAAGAAAAAGTTGGGATGTTGGTCTCTCCAAAATTCATTATATATATATATATATACACACACACAAGTTTATACACACAATTATAAACGGCAGCAGGTCTTATACACGATACTAAATGGAGATTACATAACAAGAAGTTGATTAATAAATTAGAGATTCTGGATGTAATCAAGTAATGAACTACGTGCGTACATATCTGGAGCAGCCTACTTCATGGCAAAACTTTGGCAAGAAGGCTGAAGTCTCCTAGCACTCCTGTTAGCTGAGGAAAATATGATATCTCTCTGCCTGAGTTTATAAGCTGACATTTTGCTTGCATGTATGGGATATTAGTTTTCCTGTAATTTCATTAATAGTCTATTCGTAGCTGCCTCAATTCTGCCATGAGGGTGGGGCTAGAAGCAAGTGTCCGATGTGCAAGAGCCCTTATGTCTTCTCGTGAACAGTCTCGCGAGATGCGAACCAGGTTCCACAATGCACCTCCGCTGATCATGTCTTTTGCATTCACTTCTACAATGTAGTAAATCCATGCCTTAAAATGTGACTTCCAGTGAGATATCTGCTTATGAAACAGTACAAAGAAATACCAAACATACCATGTTGTGCTAAGTGGCAGAGTGCCAGCTCAATATGACGCCGGACTGCTGAGGCTTCATTAGTGGCATTCTGTACAATCCATGGAAGTGCTCCATCCTCAATCAGCAAAGACCTTCCAGTTTTATTTCCTATATCATTACAAACCAAACTAACTCAGAAAGACAAGATTGATTGGAAAACATTATATACATTAGAAGATGCATCTAGAGTTTCAGTAAGGTGGTATGCTTAAGAGGGAAAAATAAATGCCTAATCATGAGATCATTAACATTAACACTCTTCTTACAGATGTTTATACCTTGAGTTGATGCCCTTGACTCACATTTAGCAAAGTTTGCAATTCCACGAGCAACCTGTGCAAGAACGTCAGGGTGTCCACATCTGACCATTCCCAGCAAAGCCTTGATACCTCCTTCATCTCTTAGTTTTGTTTGCAGCTTATCTGGTAATGCAATAACAACAGTTATCTTCAGATGGACTTCCAAGTTTTAACATAATCATATGCTAATACAGAAATATCTAGACAACTAAAACCATAAACAGCAAAGAAAAATATCAAATTGGTTGGTTAATTTACCGTTTCCACAGAGATTGGCTATGGCTCCAGCAATCATCCTCAGGGTTTGGGGATCTCCAGCTTGGGCTGCTGTCATTGACAACAACCTAATGCCCCCTTGTGCCATTATGAGTTCCTGATTGGTTTCTGAAAACACAAACGGTACAATTAATAAAAGGGACATTCCATCAAAGGTAGCAGAATATATCACAGTGAAAATTTTAAAACTTACCATTCATTGCAAGATTGGCAACTGCACCTGCTGCCACCCTATGTATAGTCTCATCCTCAGAGCTTCTAAGCAGCATCAGCAAGGATGTAAGACCACCGGCTTCTACAATCTTCTGCTGATTTCCTTCTGCACATAAGGGGGTGAATTATAATATTGGTGGCAGAAATAATCAAAAACCCACTATTAAAGTAATTATTATCCTTTTCAGAAGAGAAATTTAGGCACAAAAAATAAATTTCATGGACTGACTGAAATTAAATAGAATTAACATGTTAAAACCTCTCCAAAACTAATGAATGGTTAGACAGGAATTGCAGCAATATCAACAACTTTCAACAAAATGATTTGGCAATGGCCTTTTTTCCTCCTATGTAGCAGTACTTTCAGAAATCTCAAGAAATAACAGAATTAGCCAGTGTTGCAGCAGAATGGTATAAGAATAAAGCAAATCAACCTTCAGCAGCCAGATTTGCTACCACTTTCACTGCATGAATCCGCACATCAGCATCTTCTGCTTCAAGCAGTGATAATATCTTTTGCAATCCAACTGTAAGATCACCAGATTTTATTAGAATAAAAAAATGAATAGAAATAAATAGATTAAGTTTCACACAAAAATAAGTTTCAGCATAGGCATCTCTAGTAGTCTAGTACCTTGTTCAAAGAGTTTGGCTACTGAGGTCTTATCTCCACTTCCTGAATCTCTTGGTTGTGGATGCCTAACTTGAGACATGAGAGACTCTAGACCACCAGAAAATTTCCCAGACCCACCTTTGTCAAGCCTCCTTCGAGTCTATAACCAAATGCATGACAAGCCCAAGATAAAATTTCAGATCCATCATGGAAGCATCAGCATTTATGCCATTGAAGTTTGAAAGAAATGATATCTGGGGACTGTGCAGTTATCTGCTTATTATATCATATTCCAAATTGCAGGTCCCCAATAATATAAATGAGTAGAGTTCATATCTTACAAATGCTGATTTCTAGTGAGTTAAATGACAGAGTAAGTGTATGTCTTAACTAATTCAAGTTTCATCTAACTTGAAGTTACTGAATTTAAACTTATTTAACACCTCAACATTTTTTCAATTATATTCTTTAGATGGATATTAATGAAATATCATAGAATTGAAGAAAACAAATCAAAAGGGAGATGCTAATATGCTATGGCTATACAGTCGGTAAGCACCAATCCAAGATAAATGTATGAACAAATCTTTAAGACCACAACCAACATACTCATTGTTCCACATCATACCTCATCAGCTTCAGAACTTAAGTTCAATAACTGTCTCTGCAGCATTGCAATTTCCCCCTCAAGTTTCTCTTTTTGACTTGCCTCATCTTCCAGCATCTTTCGAAGTTTTAATGTCTCAGACATTTCTGATTCCTACCACAGAAAAATATAGCTTTCTGTGACAGCAGCATACATGTACAAGATGCAGCAGAGAACAGCAGACAAAAGATATAAGAGAACACTGAGAGAGGCAATACATATACCTTTGACTTTTTCATTTCATTTATTTTATTTTTAAGATTATTGACTTCCTCATCTGCAGCCTTCCTTAGTGAAGTTTCTTTCTGAAGTAACCTTTTCATTTCTGCTACTTCAGCGGTTGATACCATGTGATCCTATTTTAATAAGTGCAAGAAAAAGATGTAGAAGGAGCAAGGCTTTCAAAATTTAGATTTGCATTGCTATTATGGAACAAGATACATTGTCCTACCATGCAGTTACCTTTCCATTGGAAATAATATCATTGCCATCTTGGAGCACAACAATCCTTCGTTCACAGCCCTGCTTTTGCTGATTCATCACCAATTTCTCCTCTAGCTTTTTTATTGACTCCATATAGTCCTTTTGATACTTCAAACTTTCCCTCTACAAAAATAAAATATCAGTTTCAATATAATTCAACCATGAACTATATCTAACTCAAGGAACTAACAATAGCAAGATCTGTCATTACACAGTTCAAAAGGTAATTAATCATCTTAATAAGCCATGCGTCCAGAAGCCAATGGTCAAAAGTAAGCTAACAACAAACCTAATTGTCAAATCAATTTTGTAAAAATGGCTTTGCCATGTCAGCAAAATAAATAAGCCCCGAAAGTTCTCTCTTCCATGTGTACACAAGAAGAAGCAAGATTTATGTCAAACATTTGTGGTACAAATGCTTACCTCCAATGCATCCACATAGTTTCTTTCAGCCTCAACCATTCTGCTTTTTGCTTCTGTTTTTATTCTTTCAATTTCATGTTCCAATGCTTTCTGCTTTCTCTCATGCTCCATAGTCAGTTTATCTGACTGGATGTCTAGCCTTCTAGCCAAACTTTTGTAATCGAATTCTTCTTTTAATTTCAACATGTTTTCCACCCTCATGGCCTATAAGAGGGAGGAAAAAAAAAAAGAGTAAATACCTTGAGCAATCAGAGGATTCACCCCAACAAAAAAAAAGAAAAAGAAAAAGAAAAAAAGACAGATCAAGTCCATCATCTAAAGAGTAGCAGCCTTCATAAATTTTACAGTCCAGTTCAAGCAAAGAGAAAACATTTCACTGCTTTAGTTATGTTGGTAGCAGTACTATACTGCTAATATGTATCCTTAAGTCATAATAAATGACTTGAAAAAAAATTAAATTGAAGTGGCTTTTTAACCCACCCTCTGTCCAAACATTATTGTACTCGCTGTCTCTCCACGATGACGAGGAGATGGACCAATAGTTATAACCAATGATGTTCTTGCACTGCCTGCCAAAGAATCAAAATATCAGGCAAAACAAATTGCAATGCAGAAGGTGCTAACCTTTCAATGTTCAGTGTAAGAATGAAAAACGAAATATGTTCATATATTTTACAGAAACCTCTTTAGCACATGGGAAAGAATGAAGTGTGGCTTAAATAGCTGAATGAAACAAATTACATCCACGTTTAATCCTCAGAAACAAAGGCATGTTGCACAGCATGAAAAACAAAAATGTTAAGAGAAAAGATAAAGACACAGTAGCACACAAACTAATCAAAATCCCTTTCATTTTACCTCCAAAAGAATCACGAAGCAGCCTAGTCAATTTTGAATCACGAACTGGAACATGAGAACTATTCTCTGCCAGTGCATTAATGCACTTCCCCAGTGCACTCAGAGAGAGATTAATAGATTTGGCTTCCTCCAGCATGTGCCCTTCGCTCCCTTGAGGAAAACAAAGAAACATACATCTAAGACATATATTTGTTTAAGCACTAAATTCTGCCAATATCTGAATTCATGCCAGAGAACTTAAATATTAATTAAATCGGAGTTGCATAAACACTAAATTTTTTTTTTTAATTTCTTTAATTTTTGTGCAAGAGGTAGACTGGTAACAATTCATGGACAAACCAACTATCAACAAAATTCGATAAACTATCTATTACTAGTCATCAGTGTTGCATTGGAGAAAAGTTAGGAGATTAGTACTATGGAAGAAAAGGTTGATGAGCCTGTCCAATACCTGACTTGTCAATGCGCTCAGAACCAGCTAGATCTACAACTACCAGCTTGCCCTTCCGAATAATAGGAGGCTTAAGAGATTTAACCATATGGAAACTGTTACCATTTTCACCAGGTAGACCCTGTTCCCTTCCCTTGATAGATCTCTTGACCTGTACCTGTAGTACTAAAGATATCAATTGAGACACTGCCAAGCTAAATGTACAAAAGGCATGACTCATTAGTGCAAGAATCATTTAATTTAATTTATTCACCATCAAGATAGCGTGACTACGAGAAGATTCAGTGTTCAATTTTGTGTTTGCTGCAAAGCGGTGAGCTTCTCCTAAGCGTAGTAATTCCACAAAGCTCTGTTGATCTCTTATTTCTACAATGGTAGCCCCAGGGAGTGAAACATCTCCAGTTTTTGGGTCTTCCACAATGGAAATGTTATCATTAGTAGGATCAAGAAGATCCTGTATGGTCTCCATATAGAGCTGCACATGTTACCCAAAAAGGAAATATAAGGCAGAGTGAGAAAAGTCTGTAACAGTTTGGAGAAATTGGAAATGAATTCAAAATCAGAATAAGAAGTGTAGAAATCAAGGTATGTTGTCAATAACCTGCAAATAGGAGATTGAGATAGTATCCTTATCAAGAGAAATATCGGCTAAAATATCCTCCATTGCGCGGACCATTATTCCACGATCAGCCGTATCTTCCTCTCCAAGTCGTCCAAGAGTATATGTCTTTCCAGTACCAGTCTGTCCATATGCCATGACTGTCCCATTGTAACCATCCAAAACACTCTATAAAAACAAAAAAATGATTTCACTAAAAGATTGCGCTAGGAACATATTACACAATAATAACATGGACTCATGGAGACAAGGAAGACTGAAATGAGCATATACCACATCCTGAGATAAGATGATTAACATGACAGCTTTGCTCTATGTTTGAAATCTCTCAAATTTGATGAAGAAAAAGTTTCTACATGGTTATTCAGATAACTGCTTATTAAGTAGCATCTACCATTTTTGTTCTTGTTAAAACTAACAAAATAGGACTAGTATAAGAATATTATTTAAGTTGGTCTTGATATTTAATTTTGCCTTTTTTGAATCTTTTTTTGAATCTTAATTTTATACATATATCAATACATTGCATGCTTATATTGTAATCATATTGACTTAATGCTAAATGATTGTTATGCCGGCAGACAAACCTCCACAACAGGCTTTGCAACAACTTCATAAACACGCTTTTGTGATGCAAACTCAGTAAGAACTTCATCAAACTCGTAAGTGTCTGAATCCCAATTGTTTTTCCGAAGTTTTAACCTTTTAAGCTGCAATGAAGGAAGAAAAAGTATGTATTGAACATATACACATATAAATGAAAAATACTACGAAATACTAGTCATGGATGGAAGCATAACCAAACTAAGCTAACTATGGATCATCATGTGATTTATAATGTATCCACTAAAAGCTGAAATTAATCAAGTTGCCTCAGAATACCTCTGGCTGTAATTCTACACAATCAGCAAAGTCAGCATCAGCCACCAACTCCTCTGCATTTTGAGGGCGCAATCTTACTGCTACTCGAACTCTCCCAGGAACTGTGACAGAAGCATCAAATCAACAAAAAAACTACACCATTATCAAAAGATTATCACACGAATAGTTCCTGTCAATAAAAGCTAAAAACCAAAAATTTCTTAACTGATCTACATTACCAACTTACCATATGATGATTCACATTTTCCTTTCGCAAAGCCTGAACTCTGTACTACATACATTGACACCATTCATTGCAATGTCGATTTTCACATGACATTATAAACTTTAATTTATCAATCTTCTACCCATTGTTAAAAATACTTTCTTTTGTTGTTTCCCCAGTTTGTTTATCAGCAATTCTAATTCAATTAGACCATCAACACAGGCTTGTTGAGTATCCAAAATGCTTAAGAATTATTTACCTTAAAATAAGTATAATTATAGCAAGCACAAATTTAAAAAGCCTAAAGTTACTAACTTTCTACCACATTACTTACCTTTAATTAGCAAAAATATAGAAATTTTCTTTCTTCCACCTTTTCACTAGGTAAAGCAGTGAGAAAGAGATGGTTGATGAGCAAGCCAAGAAGAAAATATCAAACTGACCTCCAGCATCGTGTTTGGCAGCACCCTGTGAGCCGCCAAGGGAAGCAGGGCAGCTCTTGCGGATCCCAGAGGCAGCAGCAGAACCCGACTTGTTTCTCAAAACAGGCTTTGAAGGGTTGGGGTTCACAGAGAAGGGCCTATCCGTTGCATTTGCCTTGAGAGAGCTCCTGTGCGACCCATTCCTGTAATTTCCAACAGTCCCGGTGGCCATTTCAGAAACAGCAAACTTCAGCAAGATTCTCGCGGGTGCATTCCTCTGGACCGGATGTTACTGCTTCTTTCCTTGTTTGGTGAGGGAGACAATTGAGCGCTGAAACTGTAGTTGCGAAGGCAACAATAAATGAGTTTTTGAGAGGAGCTGTGCAGTCTGCGGGGAAGGTGGACCAGAAAGAAGACGACGTGCGAATTCCTTTCGTTTATTTACCAAAAACACCCTCAAAATTTTGAAAACGGTGACGGCCTTCTCTTTTTCTTCGCTGTGAGGGTATTTTTAGTTTGTGATTAGTTAGTTAATTGTATTTTAAGGATTCATGTTAAACTTATAATAAATATGTAATTTTTTATAATTAATTTATTATATTAAAATTATAAAAATTAATAGATATTTTTTAATATCAC